CAGCCCAAGACAGCTCCAGCGGAAGAAAAATGGCCCGGGCAAATGGTGGGTCCCATCGAACTGGGCAAGCCCACGGGCAAATCTTGCCTGGGCTGCAGCCCAAAGGCGCTGACGTCAGCGAGTAAAAAAAATTCAAAAAAATCCAAAAAAATTTCAATTTTTTTTTTTTAAATACAAAAAAATTGTAGATATTTTCCCTATAAAATATATAACAATTTTATTCACTTTCTAAATTGTTTATATTTTGTTGCATAATCTTTTTTTTTTTCTTGCCCTTGCCCTAGCCTTCCAAGGGTGGAACCAACTAAGGCAAGGCTGGCACTATTCATGTGAATAGTGTCAGTCCTTGCCTTGCCTTAGCCTACATGAGTGGAGGTGCTCTAAAGACCTCAATAACAGTAAATCTGCTCCTGTAAATTTTCCATGCAATCAATGGACAACTTTAGAGAAATACAGACACCATTTAATAATATCACACCGACCAATCACCCACTTTTACCAATGCTTTTTATCTTTCATCATAATACTTCTACCGAACATAGAGAAAGGACGGATTGTAAAGGTTGCAAAAAGTGCAACCAGAGGTGAGTTTTGGAAATGCAAATCGTATTAAGCTTGGGTCAACGGTCTCATGGACGTTGGCAATAACATCAAAATTAAGCATACAAAATTTACAAGAGTAGATGTTGTGAAGATAACTTTGTATTAGGCCATGCGTGAATGAAAAAAATAGTTCCACTTACAAAACTTAAACTAGAGAAAAGAAAAACAAACATCCTTATCACCCTGTCAAATCTTATACACTGTAGTATGAGCAGTCACTCCCAATTTACATCCAGATATTAATAAAACTCATCGGAGTCAGGATACTTTGCTCCACAGTTGATCCGCAAAAGGGGTTTTCAAAAACAGGATATTCAAGTACTATCCATTGAAATATCACTTGTGTTTGAATTTGGTGGACTCGCACCAAAAGTGCTCCCGGAGATATCATTTCGAGCCTGGCTGGCTCCAAATGTAAACTCAAGTGGAGGAATATCTAGGGTAGGCCGGGAAAAAATGGAGGTCGTGCCAACATTGTTAAATGTAGGGATAGGAACTGAATCATTAACTCTTGGGAATCCAAAGCTGAACGAAGGTGCAGCTACTACTGGTGGGAAGGCTGGCAAGGTTGGGTTGCCACTACCAGCTGATCCAAAGATCTTCTCCTCATACTCCTGCAGTTGCCGGTAGTTAGCTGCATCCATAAACACAAATGAAAGTCAGAGATGTAAAATTGTTCAAAACTAAGTGGACAACAATGTTCACTTTGTTTTAAGTATGGACATGTTCTAAGTTTCCTGCAGAGGTCCCTCATCAAGATGAAAGAGGGAAAAACAAGGTGCAATAGTATCTAGTATCTACCCACCCAACCAAATAAAAAATTTCATTCCAGTGTAGTCAACAATATCAGCATTTATCAACCTCTATGCAAGCAGGCTAGTTTCCAAAATCAAATGTTCTGGCTCGTGTTCCAATATCTAAAGTTATTGTTCAATTGAATGCTCCTTTTAAGAAATGCTGAGACAGATCTTCATTGCATACCTTCACTTAATTCAACCGATGGTCTCCGTTCTTTCACCCACTGGTAACACTGGGCAAGTCTCCATCCTCTGGATTTCATCAAATAAGCTATTACAATAGCCGGCGACCTGTTATAAAGAACATAAATCTCATGAAATAAACGAGAAAAAGCATTTCCTATGATTAAGGAGTTAGTAAAAACCAAAAGGCTGGTGGTGGCTAAGCGACATATTAACTGCACTCTAGAGTTGCGTGTGCAACTCAGTGTGCACTTTAGGAATGTACCCAGAAAGTAACTAAATTTTTTTTTAATGTTTTTTAAAAAAGCATGATTTTCAGCTTCACCTATTTTTCCCTGACATGCAGTGCACTAAAACACGAGCCTTGTCCCTTTCACACTGCTCTGCAAAATCAAGCACGCTCCATTTCAGTAGGAAATTTAAGCAATAGAAAGCAAATTTGAACTGCTATAATAAGGTCCGTCTCATTGTTCCAACTTTCCATTAGCTTCTATTGTTTCAAACTTGATTTGCGGCCCTTAGTCCAAAGGTTATAACAAGAAAAGATAACTTGAGAATGGATATTGGGGTAGTTGACTAGTAAATCTATATAACGTTTTTGTGTTGCAAGCATGCTGAACCCAGTGGATGGTACCACAATGTGACAGCAGAATCCACATATTTCGTCAAATAAAGTAAGAATTCAAATAAGGGGGCAATTAGGTAAGTGTGAATCAAGAAAGCATTCATTGTTATCATAATGAGCAAAACAGGGCCAAGTAAAAGGCTTGCTTAAAAGCTCAGGAACAGTTAAAAACGTTTCTGCCAATAATCTTTACTCATCAAAATTCAATCTGTTTAGCTATGAAGTGTCCCACATTAAAGAACCCCTCAAGATCGAATTTTTCCAATGTTTCTGTTAACAAGTTTCAATGGCTCCGGAAATACTTTAATCTATCCTATATCAGGAGAATCTATAGAAAACCTATAAACCAACAAGCTGAAAATGTACCCGGCTAAATAGAAAGCAACAGAAAAAAAAATTAAATGTGTGGATGTCAGTGAAGGAAGTAAAAGGTATGTCCCAACTATCACTAAAACATTTTCCAATTAGAAAATCCCTGCTATTTAAACATATTATGAGCCAAATTGATTTGCATCAAAAAAGGAGTACACACCTAAAAATTGATTTGCATCCTCAAATTGCAAAATTTTGTCATCTTGGAGGTAGTGATAAGTGAAAGAATTCTTGTAAAGATTTTGACAAGCAGGAACCGTCTGCATATAGAGTGAGAAAAAACATTACACAAGAATGTCAAGCATTTAATTGCTGGAGACTAACTATTTTAAGCCAAAAAAAAAAAGCTGAGATGTGCACATATATATGCATGTATGTACGCATATGATAGTTTCCACACTAAAATCACATGTTAATTCTCAAAATACAAATCATCAAAAACAACTCAATGAACATATTCCAATAAATTCAGGTCAAGAAGTAAACCACGCATTCTTTATCCAGGTCCATTTATACTCATAACCCCAAACACAGCCTTTATACACCTTTCTTAGACTTCCTATTGTCCTTATAGCTCCTTGAGAACAAAATGAATCTTCCACAATCTAGGATGAACTTTATGCATTGATGCTACTATTTACTTCTTCATGTTGTACTCATGAATCTCAACATCAACTCAACTACTTTAAGCTTATAGACACCCTAACTTTTGATCTCAACCACTACATTTAACAAAGCACAGATGCTCCCGTAGCTATCTCATTGAATTCTCTGTACACTTCCTCATTCTGCAAGTTCCCTGCAGGTTGAGATCAAACCACTAGCGTAGATAACATTTACAGCTTTAGTATCTCTTATCCATAAAAAATGGATTAACTAGAGACAAAGCACGTATCAAACACTCAATACCGTTCTCCATTTGACGGTACTCAATAATACTCTGCATACACGTCCAATTAGCACAATCAACATACGAAAACGAATGCCAATGAAAAAAAATCGAACCTTTAAATTAAACTGACTCTTCCAAAGTAGCAAAAACCAAACCCAAACTCGTTGTTGTATTTACAATTTTATTACCAGGCATTAAAATAAATAAATAAATAAAAAAAAAACAAAGGTGCAAAATCTTACGTTTAGAACACGAGAGATTCCCTGAGTCTTGAGAAGCTCAGAGCGCGAAGCGTTATCGTAGCTACCCAAATAGAGAAACTCTGGCACGATCGCAGAAGGAAAGGCACTAACTGGGATCGAAGTTTTGTCAGATAAATCCGGCATTCGATGGCCACAAACCCCACAGACCTCTCCTTCTTCGTATTTGTGATAGTGGCCACAAACCCCACATGGATTCTCCCTCTCCCTCTTCCTCATAGCCTAAGGCAGCGATTAGACACCGACCCAGATGCGAAAAAGACTTCTAAATCACAGAACACCAAAAACCCAGATCAATAAATAGAGAAATCGATGCGGATTGGAAGAGAGCGTGCCAAAAAATCAAAGTGGGTCGTTAAAGCTTTCAACTTTGATAAAGCCTGAAGTGGGAAGAACGAAAAAGAGAGAGATTTATAAAGAGAGCTAGAGACAGAGAGTGAAGAAGTAGAGGGCGTTACAAGGAAGCCTCTTTTTTATCAGACAGATGATGAGTTTTGAGTTCTCGGATTCGCGTTTTGGCTTTAGGCTTCTCTCACTGACAAACGCTGTCCTAGTAACGGTGTGATACGGTAGTAGGAGAAAGAAGAAAGACAGGAAAAGCTATGAGATCAAGGCAGTGTCTTTATATATATTTGTTGAATATTTTATTTCATTCCCTATTTACAGAAGACGTGGAAGTGTTGGATAGAAATTAGAATAGAAAGAGAGAGACGAGAGACTTTTGGGCTGGGGACTGATTTTTCCACTCTCTTTTTATCCACTCACACTCTATTTAAAAAGAGTGTAGGTGGATAAAAAGAGAGTGGGAAAATCATTTACCTTTCTTTTATTTGTTGTTTAACTCCCCTGTTTTTTTTTTTGGGTCTGAATTGTTTAACTTGCTTTTGTTTTGCTGCTTTGAGCTTCTCCTTCTTGTTGTTGAAGGCCGTGTGATAGAGTACAGAAAAGCCCAGATTTCCTTTTCTTTTGATGATCATCATCCACAGGAGGGCTTTTTCCCAAGCCCTACCCATTAGTACCCAATCATTGTTTTCATTTGGACCACCTACGGTTTTGGGGCCCATTTACCTCCTCCCCAATCACATCATGCCATCTGGATTGTAGTGCTGACTAGGGATCACTGGCATAGTCATGGTCAACAGCACAGTTTTTGCTCAAGCTTGACGTTAGGTATCATTCAAGCATTGCATTGACAAAATTGACCAAAGTGTCAAATATTCCAATCATAAATAGTGAGTTCTTCTCTCCCTATGTCAAATTTGTTTTGTTACTTTTGTTTCTTCTACACTAGGTCAAACTTTACTATAACTAAAAGAAAATGCGATAAAATCATTTTGATTTGTCGTATCATTCAGAATCAAAGTTAAAGGCATCACTTCTATGCTATTCCCCATTTGACCTTTGTAGTGCTCCGTTTCTAGTAGTTGTTAATGAAACACTTCAATTGTATTATCTTTTGATTTTCTTTTCTTGCATTGTAACATTTTAAATGAGACGAACAAGAATAAATACTTTACTGTTGAATATATCGATGAGAGAATACCACTATACCAAGAACTAGTGGTAAACGATAATAAAGATTTGTGTGAATATATGATTATTTTACGACTGTAATTATTCTTTCTCCATGAGAGAGAGAGAGGACACATTTGCATTTGCCCTTTGAAATTTGCGTATTTTTTCAGCACTGACGAGTCAAGAGATATTATTAGATCAAGTATCAAGAAAAACTTTGGAAACATTTCATGGGTTGCATGCGCATGATGGTAAGGCCCAAAGTAAACCCACCACATTCCATTGGGTTGAGGCTTTGAGCAAATCAACAGACGAGTCGGTCCAGCCAAACCCACCACAAAGTTACGTTGAAAAGAGCAAACAGAAAGCCATGGCCATTGCTGGCGCTTTGAAAGCTATGGCTGCTCCTGCTTGGCGCAAACTCTTCACTCGTCGCATGTCCTCTTCCTTTTTTGACCCCCCTCCACCTGTTCGTTCTCGCAGAGTCGTCGTCACTGGTACTCTCTCTCTCTCTCTCTCTCTCTCTCTCTCTTTCTAAAATCACTACAAATATCTCTCTGCGTGTGTGTATAATCTTTGGTTTTGCAGGGTTGGGCATGGTAACTCCATTGGGGTGTGGAGTGGAGACTACGTGGAAGAGACTGATAGAGGGGGATTGTGGCATAAGGGCATTGACCCCTCAAGATCTCAAGATGAATGGCTTTGATCCAGAGACCCAATCGTACACTTACGACCAGCTCACCTCCAAAGTCGCAGCAATTGTGCCCTGTGGAACCAACCCGGGTGAATTCAACGAGGACTTGTGGTTCAATTCTAAGGTATTAATTTAATTTGGACCTTCCTGATGCTTAACCATGCTATTTTTCAGTATCAAGTATCAATAATTTAATGTTTTTGTGTAAAATGCATTTATGTACGTTTATTTTATGTCAGGAGCATCGTTCAATGGCCAGGTTCATTGGGTATGCTCTATGTGCTGCTGAAGAAGCACTTAAAGATGCTAATTGGATGCCCACCGAGCATGATCAAAGGGAAAGAACGGTAATTGTTAATATTATTAAGTGGGTAAATTTGAAATGAAAGAAAAATGTGGGCATATTTTAACTTATGAATGGCAGGGTGTCTCAGTTGGTGGGGGAACTGGAAGCATCAGTGACATATTGGATGCTGCACAACTGATTTGTGAGAAGGTTGGTTCTTTTAACTACCCTGTAAATGGTATGAACAGATTTTGGTTTTTGCATTTCGATTTCCCCTAATATCTATGCAATGGCCTGGGAAATTGCAGAAACAATTAACTTGTTTGTGCTATTTGTGTTTGTATAACCAGCGTATTCGTCGGCTTAGTCCTTTTTTCATCCCCCGGATATTAATCAACATGGCATCTGGTCATATCAGCATGAAGTATGGATTCCAGGTGCGTAAACAACTTGCAAAACTGAGATACATTTTGTTCTATATGTTATGGGTATTATGTGGACAAATGGCTGGCCAGGCATGCAACTCCATCACCATGTGGACAACACAGGCACTGATCAGGATTCAGATGGTGCCTTGTCCTCTAGATGCTTCTGATTTCATCGGCCAATTGATATCGATACATCAGCTTGTTGAGTTTGGTGGGAAGATCACTTAATTCTGATATATTTATTCAAAAAATAAAAATAAAAACGCCCTCTTAGATTGAGTTGCTGGTCATTAGCTGTTATGTTGGTCTTTTTTATTTTTTATTTTTTTAGTTTGAAGTTGGCACCTATCCGTTGAACCATTAGAGTGATGAGTTGGCAAGACTAGCAAGAACTACAATTGGCTGGAACTCGTTAAGCCATGAGTCGTAAATTTTTATTTCAATTTTTCAAACCAAAATGTCCCTCTGTAGTTTGAAGATCGTGCAGACTTATTTTCCGATAATAAAACATATATCTGGTGTTATTTTGAACATAGGGACCAAACCATGCTGCAGTGACAGCTTGTGCTACTGGTGCACATTCTTTGGGTGATGCCACAAGGATGATTCAATTTGGAGATTCAGATGTTATGGTGGCTGGAGGCACAGAGTCTAGCATTGATGCGTTATCAATAGCAGGATTTTGCAGGTATATTGTGCCATACATTATAACCCTTTATCTGACTGACCCATGTACTGCACAAGTGCACAGACCTTCTTTGTTTCTCATTTCAATAGGTAGCTGTTGCACAGTTTCTTTTACTGCTCATACTGAGTTCACAACTTACATTGACTTGTAGCATAGTTGGCTCTGCATACAAAAGTTAACCTCACTTTTTAAGGCGTTGTACTTATTTCTAGGTCAAGGGCTTTAACTACAAAATACAACTCTTCCCCTCAAGAATCATCACGACCTTTTGACTGTGGTCGAGATGGGTTTGTGTAAGTACATACTCTTGGAAAGGTTTCTTTACATAGGTTGCTTGTTGCTGTTTTGTTTTTTGATGCTTCCTGTTATCTAATCTTTACTTTGAACCCAGGATAGGTGAAGGTTCTGGCATCTTGGTCTTGGAGGTAGTTGAGACATCAATTCTTGAAAATATAATTCTCTAAGGGCTTCTCTTGTATTTCCATTTCTTAATGGTGTATTTGCTATTGTGTTAATATTTTTCCAATGAAGGAGCTTGAGCATGCAAAGAATAGAGGAGCAAAAATTTATGCAGAAATTCGTGGTTATGGAATGTCAGGTAGTTTACCATAAACACAATAAATTGTATCTGTTTGATAATGCTCTGCTAACATATTCATTTTTGAAGTTATTGACTCTGTACAGGAGATGCACATCACATTACTCAACCACATGCTGATGGAAGAGGTGCCATTCTGGCCATGACAAGTGCCTTTAAACAGGTAAATGGGCATGTATGCACGTTCTTAAAATCATTTTGCTCATCTGAGTGACATCAAAGGATGCTTGTTGCCCCCTACACCCCCCTCCCAAATGGGAATCATGGATGAAAAATCATGATGTGTTGACTTGCATAATAATTGCCTCGCATAGAAAAATACTAATTTGGTAGACATAAGATCGTAATGATTGCCCTAACTACATACCTGGAAAGGTCCTTGTTTATGGTGTGATCTAATAGGTGCCCTGAACAAATTCTTCCAGACATAGTTAATTTTCCGTTGTCAGTATACATGCGGAGATAATTGGGATTTATAGTAATGCACCTGCCCTTGACTTGCAGTCAGGTATTCATCCAAAACAAGTGGATTATGTGAATGCCCATGCCACCTCAACACCTTTGGGTAAGTGATTTGGACCTTTAGAAGTTGCCACACTTTAATGTTTTCAGCTGGTAGCTTTAGAATGCAAGTATGTGCTGGAACTAGTATAGTTGTGGCTTATCTTGTTTTTATGTACTATTCAGGTGATGCAATAGAAGCCAATGCTATCAAACATATTTTCTCTGACCATGCGACATCAGGTGCTTTAGCCTTGTCCTCCACCAAGGTAAATTTAAGTATTTCTGACGTAAAAAACGTAACTTGTTAAGCTCAATATTAAGAAGCTGTAGCTTATATCTAAGTGGTGTTGTATTCTTGTTTTCTTTGCTTATAAAATTTCAGGGAGCTATTGGTCATCTCCTTGGTGCAGCTGGAGCTGTTGAAGCAATATTTTCTGTTTTGGCCATACACCGTGTAAGTTGTTGCTTTGATGATTGAGATGGAAACAGATATCCACAGAAAATATAGCTGACTGATAATATATAGTTTTGAAGGTTCATGACAAAGTCATGTACCGAACCTTGCCCAGTTGTGCTAACATTCTGAACCAATAGGAGGATTTAAATAAACGAGACAAAACAACAGGACCTGTTTTCTCACTTGGATTGTAGTAAACATATCAACTGTTTGTGGACTTCTGTTATTGCATCATGTTGTGAACAAATTAGTGGATTTGTGTTACTGAAAAATTGTCTGCATCAGTCACAGTGACCTTTCTTTTTCATTTGTTGCTTTCCTGTTTTATTGCAGGGAATTGCACCACTAACACTGAATCTCTCAAAACCAGATCCGGTGTTTAATGATGCTTTCATGCCTTTGACAGCTTCAAAGGAAATGCCAATAAGAGCAGCTTTGTCGAACTCTTTTGGCTTTGGAGGAACAAATGCATCCCTGCTGTTTTCATCTGCTCCTTGACAAATGGGGTTGGTGATATCTTCTTGTCCAGAATGTATACCACGGGCATCATTCTCCAAATGCAAAAAAATCTGCAATATCCAAACTCACATCTTCTAGAAATGGAGCTGATGGGATATCCAAGTGTCATGGCCATAAATGCAATTTTCTTTCCTTAATTTTGAAATTTGTTATAGATGAGATTAGTGGAAGCAGGCAAGCCCAACATTTCAGCTGCATTTCAAATGTAATCATGGTTAGCTTGACAGGAGATTACATAGGGTTTCTTGACAACTTTTCCTCACTAACAGAACTAGCTTTGAGGCTCATGACTTAGGTTTCAAGAGACAGGCCAATGAACCGTTGTTGGCCCAAAGTGAAATAAGTCGAAATGAATATATTGTTGTACTGATAATGTAATTTTGTCTATTAATATTATTTTATTTTTTTTGATCAATGGAGTGTGGGGATTTGAACTCAGAACTTCTTCCTACATTAGATAAAGAAGTACCACTATACCAAGAGTTAGTTCGTGCGTGGTTTGATAAATGCTATTGTTACTTTTCTTACCAATGGAACTAGGAATCTTGCAAGACCAGTGAGCCATTTTTCATGAAAATACTGCAACTGCAAACTCCTTTTAAACTCAAAGATTTCAATTTTCGAAATATCATAGATCGTAAGAACATACTAGGACACTGAGTTGGCAGTCCTGATCTCAGGAACATATGAGGCTCTTAGAATGACCTAATGTCTAGAATTACGTTAAACCATGTTGTATTGATAATATCATTGTTATATTCCACCACCACCACAGCCTACCAATGCTAACTCAAACAACAGCCTACAATTGATCTACTGAAACTTGATTACATCTCTCTCTCTCTCTCTCTCTCTCTCTCTCTCTATACATATTACATATGCTAATGCTGGACAAAATGAGCCCAAAACTTTATGAATCTAAGCGTGCATAGATTTGAAACCCTCTGTAAGAGGCACCACTTTTGCCGAGAGCTTAGACTGCAACTTTGATACAGCTTGACGAATGTCCTGCAATTGAAGGAGAACCGTTCATTGACTAATTTCTGAAACAAACGGATGATCAATGGACATATGATTTCCTAAATGATATTCTTATGCAACAACACGACATAAGCTACCACAGGATTATTAGATGTTAGTATCAGAAACAAAGACAAGGCTTGGTTCAGATAAGTAATACCTCTATATGGTAGCGGGAGGAGAAATGGGTCAACAAAACTGACTTATTTCTAATCCATTGGGCGTTTTCAATGATCTGCATTTGTAACACAGATTAAATTTAAAATCAGTTTATGTAAGATGCAATATTGTCATTAGTTAATGAAGAGAGAACTATCTAAAAGTCAGAAACAATTTTAAAAACCAAATTTTCACATGCCTCGTCTATATGAGTATGACCATGTTGTCGTGCATGCTCAATGCTGCACCCTTCATCCAGAAAAGTTGCCTGTCAAAGATCTCACCCATCAGAGCTGATTTTTCACCAAATTATGCAACACTCAATAAAGACCATTAAAATATTTTGAACATATCACTCTACCACAATGCTGAGCTTTTTCAATGCCTAGAAAAATGCCATTTAGACATAGAATTTGCGACAAAATATCTGAATGTAAGACATTTAAAAAACAACTACTTAGAACGACGACTTAATGGAGTGTTTAAGGTTGAGGAACTATATGCAGTGTTTACACCCTACTGCAAGTATATGACTATATTTCTATCTTCCAATCTAACAAACAGCACTCCTAAAAGGATAATTTTTCTACACACCTCAGTTATAAGAACCTTTGCCCTCAAGGCATCAGCATTGCGTGGATCCAGCATATAGTCTGAAGTTGTATCCCCTGTGAAGGCCACCTCTGGTGACAATACAACATCTGTAATCTAAAAAGGAAAGTTCAAAATCAATATCAGTTCATTGAAGATGAAAAAAAAGACTATTCTGCAGCTAATACAAACCTCCACACCAGACTTCTTCAATTTCTCAATCTGTTTCCCTTTTAGATGCATGTACTGTTTCTTCAGCTTTTTTCTAACCGAGTAAATAACATAACCCTGAAAAGAAAAAGAGAAGTAGAGGAACGCTATTAGATCATCATGCATTAGCAAGCAACAACAATAACAAACAGGCCTCACTAGTAAAAAGTTTATAACTTCGATTCATATGTGTCTGGGCCTGTGGGGATATGCTCCCAAGACCTGCCACATCAGCTAAGGGAAACAAAGGCATTACGAGAGTAGAATTTTAAAGCCATTATGAGAGTAGAATTTTACAATCACTAATGATTTCTATGGCATCTCTAAAAACTATAATCAATTTCAAAATCAGGCAGAATGCAAATAACGAATCCTAAACGGCCTACCTGGCTGGGTATAGCATGATCAGTCCTAAATGGCCGGACAACAAGGTTATTCCGCATTTCATATGTCTCACCTGAATCCAAAATTGCAACATCATTTCTGGCATGAAGAGATATAAATAAGCCCACTAAACCAGCACTACATACCCACATCCAATGCAACCAAATCAAGGTTCAATTCCACGTGGCCCATGGTCTGGTGAATGTCTATTAGCTTCTCCACATCCTCTTTGATACAAGGAGGCACAAATACTGTTGGAGGTTTTAAGTTGTACAAACCACGGCTGGCTACATACATTGGCAGCCCACCCTGAAACAATAAAAACAGTTTAAGCACATACTAACATTTTAACTTCCAAATGAAGTAAATAGCTCAGAGTGTGAGAAAATAAAATTCAAGCAATTTTGGACACAGCTAGTTATCACACCAAAACTGCTTTTACACCAACCTTATAACTTAGACAACTTAAAATAGCAAATTACAAACTTTCAACAAACAAAAAAATTAGAGAACGCCAATGCTCAATAATGCAGTATTTTCACAATTATTGACTTATAAACTTGAACGAAGCTAAAAAGCTATTAACAATGGCAACTGTGGACATAATGAAGCAAACCAATTATGGGTACCCAACAGAGGAGAGCAAGAGGAGCTCACAATATGATCAAGATGAGCATGAGTGATGAAAACAAAGTTCTGATGAATGGCCCTGGAGGGACACCTGCCGATGTCGAAAGCGCACTTGAACTCTGGGATGATAATGCAAGTCTCATGGCCACCAATTGAAAGACCCTCAATGGAATAGCCTTCTAAGTCCACACCTTTCCGGAGAACCTGTGACCGGGCTAGCCGGTACTCGTCATCCTCGATTGCTCGGCCGAATGCCGGTAAAAGAGGCGACCCTTTAAGAGAATTTACAGGTTTGGAAAGAGTTTTCAGTGAAGTTCTCTGGGTTTTTGGTGTCTGTGAAATGGGTTGGTGGAATGGGAAAATTAGAGGGGCTTTGGAGGGTGAAATTGTCAGAAATATTTGCATATTTATTGTGGATTTGAGTTGAGAGAGTAGCTCATAAGATAGCAAACCAAGGAGAGGATAACAAGAGAGACTGAGAGAAAGGGCTTTAGAGAGGTTTTTCTCCCAGCGAGAGTGGATTTTGTTGGTCTGAGTAAAAGTTGAGATATTTTAGGGGAACTTTATCTAATTTAGGAGGGAGAAGACGCTGAACGCTGCGTTTTGGCTGTTATGTGGCGGGTTTACAGTTTTGCAATCAAGGAGTGTAAAACGATGCGTTTTGACGATAGTAAACTGGGAGAAGTAGACCTTTGTTTAGGCACACCATGCATTGAATCAAATGGAAGGTGAAACAAACCCTACTAATTATAAAACAGAGCAAGTAATTTGCAATAAGTTAGCGGTAAAATTGCATTGAGGGGAATGGACATTTAACTACAATATGTACATTGGTGTTGTTTCATCGTTCAAGAAGTTAGGTCACAATTTCTCACAATTCAACTAGCAGAAGGGTTGTTCTTGCGTCTGAACTTTACATATGAACATTGAACTTTATGGTACAAAGAGGGAAAGTTGATGCTTTGAACCCTCATAAGCAAAGACAAAGCCATGTTTTATGTATGTACTTAGACAAAGCTGTGCAGAAGCCAATTAAGATTCTGTGAGCGTGATGCCGTGCTATAAATTACATCACTGCAGACCATAATTCTTGAACTTGAGCAGACTAGTTCGGCGTTTTGAAGCGTGAAGCCATGAATGATTGGTAAGGGGAATCCCTTTCCGAGGTGTGAGTTCACATATGGCAAGAAAACAGTCTGAATAATTGTCCACATCACTGGCTGCAATGTAAGACATATCAAGCGTTTAGTTTAAAATTAATGCAGGACCTAAATTTTAGTTTGAGGAAGCTTTTATAAAGCAAGAGTACCTGAATTAGATACAAGCGAAGATTGCCAATATTGCTCCACTTCAATGACATTGAAAAGTCATTCAATTTTATGCTACCAGCAAGGTTATTGCCTGAGATTTTAACTGAACCTGATGCATGAATGACCTGAAACAACATAAAATATTTCTTGTTATTTGTTGTAAGATGACAAACATGATTATCATGCATAAATAACACAAATTATTCTGAGTGAAAAGTAAAGATTATCACATGATATAACTATTCAAATCTTCCATCGATAAACTTACCAATGAGATGCAAGCCACTGGTATTACTCTGTTTTCTTCCAATACATCAATGATCAGGTCTGCGTATATGGTAGCATCAATATTATGCTCTGTGATCCTCACGACTGGAGGAGAAGATAAGGAAACATTCAAGTCCATATCATGGTTTGGATATTTCTTGTATAGTTGGGGAACAATAAATCTCCATCCAGCAGTGTTCAAAAAAGACTGATCTGGTATTTTATCCACAATCCATTGCATAAATTCTGCCTGCCCAAAGATAGACACTGTCTTTATTAATAGTAATAAAACATCATGCAGGCAAGAAGGATAATATGCAATGATAAATACTTTAGAGACGCAATTCTAAGAAACTCCATGAATATTTCCCAGACTTACATTAAAATATGCAGCTCCTACAGAGTTGAACACAGCCTCATCCAGTGAAATTCCAAGCATTTTAGATGAATCTGAGCAGGAAACTAATGCTTGTGAATCCTTATTGTGGTACTTAGAGACTGAGGCATTTCTTCTTGCAAATAAACCATTAACCTCAAACTCTATGGAAGAATTACTCAATACTGGGTCATTCACAAAAGTGACATTCAAAGAAGTATTATCATCCAGTGGCATCTCCTTTGGAAGAGCTTGCAGAAGTGAATCAAGCTTTACAATCCCATCTTTGAGTTTCTTGGTGACAGAAGTTTCCACTGCAGATCCTATTTGCTCTTCAAATGCATTAATCATCCTAAAGGGAGAAAAGGAAATGGATTATTCACAGAAGGAAAATCAAAATGCTGATCCTTCTCTTAGACTAAAAGGTGCATAAGTCATGCGGAGAGAGAGAGAGAGAGAGATACGAGTTATAAACTGCTAGCCTCTAGATATATATATATATAATAAAAACCTGACGCACAGACAGAAGGGGAACAGCAATTACAAGTGCAAACACTTCTCCACAACAAATAGAAAATTTGCATACCCTTGATAAAGCCAAGAGGCTCCTCCATCCAGTTTTATGGAAATATCTTTAACATAACAACCACAATCCTTGAGGGTAAGCTTTAAAGTTCCATCTTGTATCCCCAAGCCTAAAGTGAGCCCAACTTCCAAGCCTTCAACCTTAAGCAGAAGCAGCACTCATCAAACTTCCTTTGTTAAAGGACACAAAATGAACAGAAACACACTTGAAACAGATAAGGTTCAACGATATGCAAAGCGCATGTACTTCAATTTCCAAAGAAAAACCCAAATTCGTTAAAATGATCAAAAAACCGAGCAAATTTCCATGTCATAGCTATATCTATAAAATCCAGTAACTATCATACTAATGAAATCCGTGATGCCAAACACAAATAATAAAGCAATCCAGTTCCTTCCCAAAAGCCAACATTATTTGGATGAAATTCAGTTTTGATAAATAAAAGTTGGATGATATCAGATCAATAAACATGTGTATACACACAAAAACATATCTTTCTCAAAGTCCAATACATTTTAAGAAACAAAATAACAAGAAAAAGAAGCTCAGCAATCACATCTATAAAATTCACGGATCACTCTCTCACTAGCCTCCCTGAACGGGTCATTCTAACACTCGAACTTATTATGTAAACAAAAGCACCGCCTTTATGTGAAATTGGGGGTGCACAAGCTATACAACAATAATAGCACCAAGTGCAATCATATGCAGGCAACTATGTTCTTATCTACCACTAACTCCATTCGAGCATGCCGCACAATAAAGCAACTTAATTTTCATATAAGCATCCTTATCAGCTAAAACCCAATTGCATGAATCAAAAACTCTTAAAGTTCATTTTTCACCTGTTAATTTGCAGAAATTAAACCCCCAAAAAAATAAAGAAAAGAAACAGCGTAAAATGAGCCTATAATCAATCAAAGCCATACCTGAATAGAGGCACGACCTTCATCTGAAACAACTACAGGTGCAATCCAGGTACTATAGGAATAATACCAACTCATGCTCAGATTGCATGTGGTCCCTGAAGCAATAATGTCAATTCCATCATCTCCCAGCTTGAAATACGAGGTACCAACATCGATTCCGTAGATTGTGATGTTGGAGAGCACCATATTAACATTTCCCAGAAATGGGATCCTCGTGGATTTCGAAATTTGGGGCAGTTGCAGTGGGATTATGGAAGAAACAGCCTTGGTTATGAGCAAGTCCTTGAGAAAATCAAGACCCTTTTGGGATATGACTATGGATGTGAAGGCGTCGTCTGTGGCTTGGACTTGGAGATGGGTCTGCGTTGAAATGAAGAATGAAGCTATGAGAAGCAAGACAATGGTTGGTGGTGCCATTGAGGTCTCTGGGCAAGAGAAAAAAAGACGAACGATTTTGGCCATGGCACAAGGAGAAAATGGAAAAAGCGCACAGCTTTAACTAACTTAGACAAAACTCTTGGTGGAAATGTCGAGAAAACCCCCAAACTTCTATATATTTTCCTTGGTTGGTCAGTAAGTTTTTAAGCTGTCGTTGAGTCAAAAATTGGATCTTTCTGGGGAAGAAAGGAGGCCAACAAAAATGGCATTACAGGCTGCTGGGGTTTCAACCTCCAAGGTGCTCGTTCTCGTTGGAGCAGGTGAGGTTTCTAAAAACTTAATATATTTCTTGGTTCCTCTTTACCCTTTTGCTACCTCTCATCATCATCATCGTCGTCATCTTTGCTCACTTTATTTTCCAGTCTGATTTAAATTCTTGAAATTTCAATGAAAACAGCAACTAGGTTATCTTAGCATATGAACCTTATATTCTTACTTTGGGTTTGCCTACGCGTGTTGCTTGTACAAATAGCAATTCAGTTTGTTAACTGAATGATAATTCAGAGCAGCTTGTCTTTTGGCGGTTGTGGCTGTTGGACACAGATTTGGAGTTTAGCCATTTTTCTTATTCTTCTGGGGTTGTTAATTACTAAGTGGGTTCTTGTTCATTTCATAAGGAATGATCCTAGTGCTTCGAAAGTATAATTCCTGTTTTTTTTTTTTTTTAATGAGAAATTTTAATAGGAAAGAAAGGAAAAATAGGTATAAGATAAGAGTCAACAACAAAGAAACAGAAAAAGCATTGAAGTACTTTTTGTCATTGGAATTGCAAAAGTACTGTATGGTACTATGGTTTATGTCTATGAAACACAGTTTGTATCTAGTTCTTTGCTCCTTTCCATTTATCACTATTGTCCTCTAACTATTAATAATTTTGTTCCTTTTTGCAATTTAGGCTTGACCGGTTCTATCGTTTTGAGGAGCGGGCGATTATCTGATCTTATTGCACAGCTTCATGAGTTATTGAAGGGTGTAAACGAAGCTGAGATTTTGTCAGAGAAATATGATGGTGCAATTATCAGAGCTCAGGTATTGCAACTTCTTGAATTCAATTAGGTCTTTATACTTGAAAAGATTCAAAGTTTGCGAGAGATACTGTGTACTGATGTTTTGTCAAGGTGGAGGTCCTAGGTTAGGTTATCGGTACTGTTATAATTTTTTTTTTTTTAAACTGTTTACCCCATAACTGTAGTTATCTTATGCTCGTAGACACAATCTCTTTGCACAGTTTGTATACTTATATTATATGTGTCTTTACCTTCAGATTCAACAATTGGCTCAAGAAATCAGGGAGTTAACCTTATCTGGCCCTGTAACCATCTTCAAGGAGAACTCTGCCTCCAGTGGTATATACATTTCTTCAGAGGCCTTAGTAATCAGTTTTGAGTGTTTTTTAAATTAGAGTTTGTATGAATTCTTCAAAAACCGCCAATTTATTTCCTTTGGGAATATGGTTAATATTTTTTCCACATCAAGAGTTAATTTCTATTATGTGCAAGATTTTATTAAATCTTAAGCATATAAACGAGCTCACACATTTCATGTCAGCACAGGGAATTATGCTTCATATTTAGTTCCAGCTGCTGCACTTGGTGCAATGGGCTATTGTTACATGTGGTGGAAGGTAATTCTACCTATGACTGAACTTAGAAAATTTGCGGTCGCACAAACACATTCTATTAAGTTCTGCACTTGTGAGGATTTGTATTATTGCTGATGTATGGGTATGTTTGTGATATTGTGCAGGGCTGGTCATTATCTGATGTAATGTATGTAACAAAGCACAATATGGCAAATGCTGTTGCAACTGTGTCCAAACAATTAGAGCATGTCCATGAAACATTGGCTGTAAGTCAGATTCGTTGCCCATTGTGTGGTTGTCTTTTCTAGATGATAGTCCTTAAAAAGGTCTGCGGCACACTGCCGTCTCGTTTTTGCAGTCTACAAAAAGGCATCTGACAAAGAAGCTGGAAAACTTGGATTGGAAGATGGAGGAGCAGAAGGAAATAAGTGAGCTTATTGCAAATGATGTATGGTACAATATATTTACATACTTTAACATAAATAAGCGGATGCTGTATACTCAAGATTAGGGGATCTTATTATTGAAATAGGATTGATGTGTTTTGCACTTCCACTTCCTCTTCCTTGGCTGAATCATAATCATTAGGGCAAATAGGATATTCATTTACCTTCCATTCTAGTAACTAGTAAGCGCATCACCTTGTTATGAGCAAAATAAATGTCAGTGTCTCTTTTGTGGTACATCTTTTCAAATAAAATTCCTCTCATAGCATCAGCATCATAGTGCCATTTGAACTTTGGGAAGCAATTAGTAATTCAGTGTAAGGAGATAATGCTGATGGCACCCTAATAAGTACTATCTATGTTGATATTCATTTTCCATTTCATTTGCATACAGGTGAATGAGGTGAAATCAAACCTTTCTCAAATTGGGTTTGATGTTGAGTTAATTCATCAAATGGTCGCTGGATTGGTGAGTTGATAATTCTGTCTTTTATGTATATCTTTTATTTTAGTCTTGCATGCTATAAGCTTATTGGATTACTTATGTTGTATTTGTTGATTGGCTAAACAGGAAGGGAAGGTTGAGCTTATTGAGAGCAAACAGGTTATATTTTTGGTTATGCCATCACCTCAAAAACCTTGTGCATTATCTAATTTCTTTATGCTTCTGTAATGACTTATTTGCCCCCTTTTTTATAATACAGGATGCCACCAACTCAGGTCTATTGTATCTATGCCAAGTAGCAGAAGGCTTCAAAGATGGGTTGGATACTAAACCATTTCAGGTCAGATATTCTCTGTGTGTTCATTTGAAAACTGACTATTAAATGAGCTAGATGAGATTTCTATCTGGTTAGTCACTGAGATTAGCTTGCTTTGTGTCTACATTGTCATGGACTCATTGTCTTTCTCCTAATTCAGTTACCAAGTTATCTTAGTTGTGTATTGGCAGAATGTCTCTGCTAAGCTGGGAAAGCATTCAACAATGGCTTTAGAGGATAAATCACTCAAGGTATCTGCAGCCTCATTTTCTTCTGCTTTCTACATAATGCTGTTTTTATTTACTTGTGACATGTTCCAACTTCCAACAATACTTCAGGGCCTACAATTCCTTGCCGACACTGAAGAGCCATGCGTGACTGAGAAATCAACGACAAGCGCAAAAAAGAATGATCCTGACAACTTCCCTGGGGAAAAGGTTCCAAGAATGAAAACAAGAATACACAGGTCATATCCAGTTGGGATTTCTTTGACCCGGGACATAATGGGCTCGGATTTGTGATTTTTTCATCTTCTCTTTTTTTGGTTTGTTTTTCTTCATATGTGATTTATTTTATGAAGGGCCCCCTTCATATTTATTCTTGCTGTAGTTTCTGGGACTCATTTGTATTTCATTTGTGAACATGGGTGTGTAGGAAGGTGCAGAGATTGCATTTTGTGGTTGCCATGACTTCATTGTTATACATGTATAAAATAAAGTCAAATAATCTTTGTGTTTTGTGATGACGTTTGGAATATATAAGAACTCTGGTTTGCCAACAAATTCCACACAAACAAAAAATTAAAAAGGGAAATCATAAAGTGATCAAAACCCATCAGGCATGGATAGAAAACTTAGGCCAAAAGGTGATATTTTTTTCACAAAAAAAAATATTCTAAACTACTTTACTGTATGGGGAAGGGGATGGAACTTGGTGCAATGGGGCCGGCACAGCAGCGGCATGCATGTCTCGGCCAACTAGGCTAACCCGTGTATGCAAAATATGATCCTTGTATTTGTATCTGATAGCCAATGTCCAAAAAAAAAAATTATATGTATATTATTTTATTTTATTTTATTTATTTTTTTGGTGAGAGATAAATAGAAAACTTAGGCTCATAAGTCCATAGACTCTAATGATTGGACAATTTAAAGTCCAACCCAAATGTGTCACTTTCGGGTCGAAGTAAGTTTAGTTTGACCCGGCCTATCTTGAACCGACTTGACCTTTGCGGTACAAAACGAACTACTTGCTAGGGCTTTTGATTTATTCCAAAGCTCTGATTTTTCAGGTTGTGCTCCTCCTTCGAATTTTGCAAGTTTCACCTTTTCGCTAAAGAGAGGTATTCCTCTACCTTCTTCTTTCTTCAAATTTTAAAGCAAATTTAACTTGATTGTTTATTCAATAATTGTTCTTCTGCGATTGTTGTTGATTCTAGGGTTTGCTTCTGTCATAATTTCCATGTAAATCTCTAGAGCTGTACGTTGAATCCTTTTGAGAATTTGATCTTATATTTACTGGTGTTGAATTTCAGAAAATTTGCTATTCCGAAAGTTTCCATATGTTTAATATTAGGGCTAAGTTTCCGGTGCAATTTTTTTCTTCCTCTTTTTCCCCCAAATTTTGATGGATTTTCATCCTTGAAGTTAAGTTTATATTCGAATGATTAAATTTTGAACTTCTTTTTATTCCTCCAAATCGAAAGAACTGGTACTTCAAGTTGTTTAGACCTAGGATCTATTCTGTACTGTAATTTGATATTTATTTACTGTTTTGTTAAGAAAAGTAAAAATTAAAGTTTATAAGCGATTCTATTAGGTGGTGATAACTTTTTATTCTTGTTTTTTAATTTTTCAGTGGTAACTGCAGCTTATTCAGTAGTTAGATTAGGGACAAATATTTAGAAATTTGCAAAATTGGAATGTTTTTTCTTCATATCTCCTGAAAACTTATTGATGGAACTGAAAATTGTTTGAGTTGTTCCTTAATGGTGAAAAGGAGAATTTGTAGTTGTAGCCAACACAGAATCGGGCTTAGTTCTTTGGGGATGGAGTTTATTTACTTTATTGTTTGTTTCTTCCCGTTCAAAATATGCTTTCATGAATTTTGAGTCTGCAGTAAATCATGAAATTTTGGTGTTAGTTAAGTAATTTATCAACTTATACAATTGGTTAATCTTCGAATTTGACTATCTGACTTTGGTTGCAGAAGCAGGAAAAAGTAATCATGCCGAAGAACAAGGGAAAGGGAGGAAAGAACAGGAAGAGAGGTAAG